CGATGCGTTAATTCATGGCAAGGTTCTAATAGTTTAGCTATGTTTGTTCACAGAGCTTCCCAACTCATATGCAATTAGCGGTAGATCACGTCTTTACTGCCGATGAAGAGAAAGATTACATGGTAAAGACTTTGAGAGAACAAAACAGGCAACTAACCAAGGTAAAAAATAAAATTCATGACATTGACTTATGATGAAAGTTTTTTTTTTTTATAACATTTTTGTGTGTTTATCACTAAAACTGATCTTTATAGCGTGTGACAACCATTGTCTGCTGAATGTGGAATTGTTAAAGTAAACTGAATGCAAACATTTTATGGAAATATTATTCTATGCTTGCGACTACTTTTGTCACTATTTGACTGGAACAACAGAAGTGTGCCCTCTAGCAGGAATACCAAAAATTATTTACCAACAGTTTGACTGCTGGGTAGATATGAAAATGTAGGTTCTTCAAGAATAATAAAAATTGTATGTGGTTGTAGGAAGCTTATGCAGGCCTGAACTAATGTACCGCCTTGTTTTCTCACTTATTTTGTTTTTGAAATGTGAAATTTCAATTTACCAAATTACAAATTTATTACTATTATAACATCCATGTATGATTATTAGCCACATCACCTAATAAGCGAGTTGCATCACAACAATACTGTGACGCATCACAACAATACTGTGACGCATCATATCAGCTCAAAGGGCACACTTGTTAGCTTTGGTGTTAATATTGCAATAATAGCTGTGGTCTTTCTGTGGGGGTGGGAGGATCCTGTGTGTGAGAGTGCATTTGTGCAGGTTCACACATGCGCGCATGTATTTGTGCATTTGTGTGTGTCGATACGACCATCAGCATTCTGTAAAAGGCTGAATCTTATTTATTTTAAATTTTCAGGAAGTCTCGGAGAAAGGTGAGAAAGTGACACAGCTGGAAAGAGAAAAACAAGCTTTAATACGTGAATTATTTGAAGTGCGTGCAAAGACCAGCCGCCCACGGGACTCTGCAGATAATACCACGTTTATGTGACCTATACAATTATACAAGAGAGCTGACAGTTACGAAATTTTGAACAATACTGTGTTAAATCAATACAATCAAAACCTTTTTTTTAGAATTTTTATTTTAAAGGTGTATTCACAATTTGGAATCATCTTGTTTTTACAGGAAATGTTCTCGGAATTTATGTAAACTTTGTCGATGACAATAATTATGAAAAAAATTGCGATGGAACTGCGTGGAGAACAATGTTAATATTTGTTATAATATGACAGGGTAAAATTTTGTGTAATATTTCAATATTTGGTCCCAAAATCAAAAAAGATGTAGGTTTCATGGTCCTACATAATTAATCAAATCAAAAGTATTTACTTTTTAATAAATCTTATTCGTAAATGGCCGACAGGATCTTGTTGAGGGAGAGAAAATTGCCTTTTGTCCCCAATTAACACTCCATTCTTGCTGGTCATTGCATCTGCTATTTGCCTGACTCACATATCCATAGTACTGTAGAATACATTATTTTCGCTTGGAATTAATTTTCGCTATTTTCGCTGAAGGAATGATTCCGTGAAAATAAAATCCAGCGAATATACTTTTAGTTTCCACTCTTCTAAAATCACTGAAAATAAATTCCATACAAAACACTCAAAATGTCTATTCAGGGATAATAAATTCCAGCTTATATAAAATATTTAACAGTATTAGGAAGGAAGGCCGGTCACTGGTAGCATAGTGGTTGTCGCATCAGACTCATGATCGGTAGACCCGAGTTCAAATCCTACCTTAGGCTGAACATCAAAGGGTCGACCCCTACCCTGGGTGAGTGTGCCACAGACTCAATGGGAAGGCCAATTCCACTGGCCGAGATTCATTCACTAACGAATGCGACTTTGGGGGAACCTTGGTTAAGGTCCGCAGGTGCTTGTGTTCGACCGGGCCTGGTTGACGCCAGGATAGCGCATTAAAATTGCCATTTGACAGAGAGATGGCCACACGGCCCTGTCATGTAGTTCCAAACAGGAAATGACTTCTGTGGCAAAATGCACTATGTGTCAGCACTAGCACTTGCAATTAGCACTTACAAAAAAAGTCAGGAGAGACAACAGTGACATTCAATGTTCGGAACTGTCGCCTGGCACAAAAACATTTTTTAAAAAAAAAAATAGTTAAAAATTAAATAAAAAAAAAAAAAATAAAAAAAATTAACAGTATTAGGAAGAGTGGACCCAATGATAGAAAATCGAACACTATTTAAAGGACAAAAACAATTTATGTTGCTCTCAACCAGGTCTTGGCGGCCATTTTGCAAATAAGGTACCCGGTATATTAAAATGTGTATGTATATTTTGTGACATCACTTGCTGTGGTATAGTGCACAGTGCCCTCTAGTGTTGACCTTTTGCCATGTCTAATTGTATGCCAGGTGCATTCATCATGAGTTGTGATTTGCTCATCGTAGCATCTACTGTCACCGCTATATTGTTCCGAACACTAAAACAGCAACATTGCCGACTACACTGCTGACTGGTTTGCTATGCACACCTGGAGATCGTTACGTGATTAAAACAAGTTGGGTCAAACCAACTTCAACAGGAGACGTCAAACAGATAGTGGGGGACTCGGACATGTTGAATATAAAGAATATCATGATGCGATTGCCTTTCAATTTATTTCATTCAATCGTATACATTTCTATATAATAAATAGTGAATATATCCAAACAAAATGTATGTACTGACACAGTATAAAATGTCAGGACATGTGTCGTAGAGGTCATGAGCATGAGCACATTTTTTAGCCGAACGATGCACCCTTGTAAAAGTGGTTTGAACTAACAAGTTCTAATCATGTAACAATCATAAGGAGCACTCCAGTCAACAGCTTAGCTGGCAATGTTGCTACTGTCAAATACTTTATTTTTGCTTGGAATTGATTTTCGCTGAAGGAATGATTCAGTGAAAATAAAATCCAGTGAATATACTTTTTTTTTCCATATTTAGATTCAACTCATCAAAAATCGGTGAAAATAAATTCCATACAAAACACCCCAAAAGTCATTTCAGCGAATATTTATTCCTGCTAAACTAAAGTATTTTACAATATTCAGAACAATATGGCAGTAATTGTTGGGACAATATTCAAATTCCTGACATTTGGAAGGTTTTTATTTTTCAGGAATTTTTGCACCGAAAATAGATTTTTTTTTCTTGCGTATTTTATTTTGAAGTGTTAGGAATCAAAAACACATACATGAACTATGTCCCAAAAGATAACAAAAATTCTGTAGTGCCAAAGAGGTAAACAAGAGTGTTCATTAATTATGCAAATGAGATGCAAAAGTTTAATATATTTTTCTAGACACGTATCTATCTCAGTGAATATTTAGATTTTTAAACATGCAAAAGAGATGCATTAATTATAATGATAGTAATCCGCCAATAAGATTTCAAAGTTCAGAGTTAAAATTGAGATTTGGTTTTTAACTGCCTTAGTCGCTATGATTTTCAGAGTTGACATAAATGATATCTGCCAAAAAAATATTTTGATAGCAGGCCAGCGATGCATGCTTAGTATATTTACAGTTTAATATAACTGCCAGATTTATGATTTTTATGCTTGTAGCATATTGATATTTCCAGCAATACTGAAACGCTTGTTAGGTCAAATATTTTGCATAAAATTAGCATAAATATAATTATTTCTTCAGATGACAATAGGTGAACCATTGATGAAATACTGCTAGCAAGTTTGGCTCGTCAGACAGTCCAAAAAAGAGGACCTTTGTTTTGGGTTCTATGTGTGTGCATGTTTGACGAGACAAACCGATTTTTGTCAACGTTGGTAGAAATCATAAGCATGCATGTTTCTTTTTTAATTCATTCATATGGCTGTCATGTTTTTCCCAAAATGCATGCATTTTATCAACTATTTCTCGAACATGTCTCGGCCAATTTCATTCAAACCTGGTATTGACATCAATTGTACTAGGGTCTTTGAATTTTGTTTCAAATTTGTGTACAAAGACCAGCCTTAATAGTACAAAACTCCACACTATTGATGAGGAACATGAGCTCAATTATTGGACACCTGACAAACTTCGTAGATAAAAAAACTCTACTTCCCTGTTCATATTATTTTAACTCTAGGAAAATCAGTTGAAAGATGCATGAGGTTTTTAATCAAATTAATGAAAGAATTCACAAGATCAGCATTGTTTGCTTGTCATGGCAACAGTACTGTATATGTATGCTTCACAGGTGTACAGATGTACCCACCTGATATACTGTGGATATCAATTAATTAATTTTCGCTGAAAAGGCTTTTTGGGCGTTTTGTATGATGTTATTGCTTGATTGTATGTTTTGCTTTTTGATGAGTTGAATGTCAAATATTGAAAAAAAGTATATTCGCTGGATTTTATTTTCACGGAATCATCTCTTCAGCGAAAATAAATTCCAAGCGAAAATAAAGTATTCTACAGTACATTACAGGAATAGCTCAGGAAGTTTGTTTTACCAAAATCTATGTGGCGTTCCACTTGCTGCATATCACTTCATTAAGACCTAGAAGCTTTGCAGTATTGCACATGCTGATCAATGAGCTATGTTGGTTGACAAAAATGTTGTCTTCTGAGCATTTTCCCTGCCATCACGGTGAAAACAAAGGCCAAAAATGTAACGAGATTCCCCTGAACAGGGTAATAAGATATGTACAGCACATATATAAATTTGGTTGTTCCTGATTACCTCAAAGTTGAGTTTGCGCTATTTCCCAGACTTGCATGATACAGTGGTGTGAGTCTTATCATCATAAAACAAGCGAGCTCCGCTCCCGGGAATAGCGAGTACCTAAGTGAAATGTAACATAAATTCCAGCCATTAGTGGAGTCACAAAGCAAGTTGAATGCTGCGTAGATTCTCGGTGTTAGTGGAGTGGCGTATAAAAAGTGGAACGCAACATAGATTTGAGAAAATCTCATTTAATGAGCCTTTTTATCAACTTACTGAAATGTAATTTTGTAGCTCATAACCATCACTGTGCATTCACTGGTGAAATTATTCATAGTAAAGTGTACTGCACAGTAGTATTTATTATGGAATTAATTTAAATGATGACGCAAGTATAGGGGTGAATGTCATTGAAAAGCATGTTGATAAACCTTTGTCAATGTTTGCGCTTTGTTTATCAGAATTTAGTTTCTCAACAAATTTACTTGATATGAACATATGCGAATTTGTGAATTAATTCAAAGATGCCAAACATATCATCAGTGCGACATATGGCAACTGTTGTACTCCATGCAATTTATCATAAATCAGTGAAAACTCGCAACACATGACAGCAATAATTTTTCCTACACTATCTACCTACATTTTTCAACTTTTGAAGTCTTGTATATTTATTTTTTTCGGGAAATCAAATTTTTGCAACATGCAGAACAATTTGATAATGACCATTTGTACAGTATTATACTGCTGTGGAATATAATTTAGCAATTTTTCGGGTCTTAGCAGTTATTATTTATGTATAACCGAAGACATAGAAGATAAGGATATACAATTTTCATAACAATGCATGATAATAATCAGGATCTCACGAGAAATCAACTTTCGCAAGTTGTTTCCATGTTCATTAATCAAACGTAGTCATGAAATTTGTTTAGTAATACAGATAAAACTCCAAATTTATTCACCATCAGACTATCTCGCCAAAATTTTTCTGCACTTGTTTTCTTAAAATTTCTAGTAATGAATGCTAATTTTGGAGCCAACAGATAAAATTTGAGTCAATTTTCAGTTTTTACTCAAAAATGTGGCTATTTTTGTTTCAATCTTCTGAAGGAAAGTGCAGACTATAAATGGAACAATTTTGTGATGAAAAAAGGGAACTGGTGGTGTACAAGGTTAAACACTATGATGAACTAAATATTTTTCTTCACTTAATTTAGAGCTAATTTTTTTACCCAATGATGCATCTACATATGTGGTTTTGTTCAGAGTAATCTCTGCTCACTTCCACTGATCTACCCAACAGTGTATTATGGGAATCCTGGACAGATTAATTCAGTTTATGAATACTCTTTATATTGTACAATTATAACTTTCTGAATAAAATTCAGGATTTGTATATTCCTTCTCGCATTTTGTCATGTGGATGTCACTTCCTGTTAATTTAGACTACTGTAAACCATATATTTTGACATTTTGAGCATATTCACCGTTTTCATTTCACAATTTGTAAAGGAAACAATGAGTTTTATTGCTATTTTACATGTTCAAGTAGATTTAATTTAGCCAATTTTACTCATCAGTGAACATGGCGAAATTAAAATAATTTGAGTCCTTGTGCTAGTCTGAAGTTATTCCTCAGACATGCATCTACAAATTTATGACATAGAAAATTTGTATACATGTGTAAACTGAGAACAGACTTCTAAAGGTAGAGTGAACCAAGCTCGTATTGGTCACCAAATCCAGGAGGAGAATAACGCACTGGAGAGGGGCACTTGTAGCCAAGGTGTTTATTGCTCAACTGCTAGGTCTGGAACAGAGTCTAAATAAATTCCATACAATGTATCAATATCATTATGCAAATAAGTAAACTAAACATCATAGCCTCAAATCATTACAACATGTACACTAATTGCATTATGATTCAATAAAATATGGTAAAGTAGCAGTCATTTTTAACTGTTACTCAATCACTGACCTAATTCAAATCTGATGACAAGTTTTGATGACAACACATTCTTTTATTGTATGTGATCTGATTAAAATATGGCCGACTGGTGGCCATTATTTTTTTATATCTTGCAAGTCCATGACCCAAAGCACATAATTCAGCCAGCCAGGCAAGCCCACAGTCCTGAACATGAACTATTCAACCCCAACATGATTTGCAATATCCACCAAATATGACAAAAACTCAGCACTCGAGTCACACATCTTTATTTCAGGAAGACAGCACAGCTAAATCAATACAATAGGTTATTGCACTATCTAATAACAGATCTTGTAGAGTACCGGTATACATGTATTACAAACATCTGGTTACAAATGTCTTCATTCTGTGTTCAACAAATGTGTTATCTTGAAAATTATACATATGCTAATCAAAATTTAATACCAAAAATACCAAAATTGAACTTTGGGAAAAAGTTCCTTTTGTACCCCCATCCCTAACCTTAACTCTGCCCCCATAGATAACTATAGATGTCCTTAGGAGGGGCATGTACAATTAAATGGGGAGTGCTGGAGGGTAGGGTTAGGGATGGGGGGTACAAAAGGAACTCTTTCCGAACTTTCCGAAAGTTTGAAGATGATCAGATAAAAACTGTTTGAGTTGGTGTAACCACAAGAAAAAGTTAACACCAGAGACATTCGCGTGGACAGACATTTTCCCTTCATATTTACCAGTAATGATGATTGGGCAAGGTAAAGAGCTTTGTACAAAAAACGTTGATGTACTCGTATAGCCGTGTAGCAGGTTTGTTATCTTCATAATTGTTCACTTTCGGTTTCCCCTATCTCGTGTGGATTAATAAATTATTACATAAAAATATTATATATTTGCATCTTATAGCATCTTCACCAATATTGCACGTTACGAGTACACATAATCATCCATCTGTACCACAAATCACTCAAACTTCAATATTTCTTCGTCTCCAATTCTTTCAATTCTTCTCTTGCCTTTTTATTTGAGTCCAACAGATTTCGAAGTTTGCTGTTCAGATTTTCATTTTTCTCCTCCAATACACTCAAACAAGAGTCCAGTTGGTCCAGAGTTTGGTTGAGTGTGTCAAATTCTGTGAAGCAAATAAAAAATCATAAGAAAATAAAGAAGACACTTCTACTAAACCCTTCGCTAGTTGTCAATTGCAAATTTCATTTGACTACAATAAATTCTATCACTTTTGTGACTAATGACTAAGAGTAATTTCAAAATATATGAATCATTTAAAAGCATGTCAATACCAACAGAAATGTACCCAGTAATACTTAAATATTTTCGCTGAAGGGATGATTTAGTGAAAATAAAATCCAGTTAATATAGCTTTATTCCTATGTTTTACCTTCAACTCATCAAAAATCAGTGAAAATAAGCTCCAAACAAAACACGCAAAAAAGTCTTTTCAGCGAAAATAATTCCAGCTAAAATAAAGTCTTTCACAGTATCAGGAAAATGCATTGCATGAAATAAAGTGTACCCTACAGGAACACATTTCACTTTCTAATTTTCTGAAAAGTTTGTTAATTTTTTTTATATCTCCCCCATTTGTGAAGTAGTTGCACTAGTTGGCTAAAAAAAATTGAGGCCTGTCCACTGGTTCCAGACAAGTACATCTTAGGTGAGACAGGTAATTTACAAATAGGTTGGTTGTCTGAGGTCTAACAGGTAAATAAGGATACCACGTTTTTACTATCTGATCAAATGGTTGATTACTAATTTCAAAAAATTGTTTTCAAAACAAAAATTGTTTTCAAAACCTATGAAATGATGGTGAGCCAATGAATGACAATTTTATTTCTAATAACAACTTTTTTAATTTATCTTGCTGGAAACATCAATAGGACAAACATTTTTCTCACCAACAGGAACAATAGAAAGGGAACTTTTAGGAAACTAAATTTGAATTTGTTTACATTAAATTTATATAAAATAATATCAACCATTCAAGAAGACAATACAGTAACACATCTTGCCACAGACCATAGAAAACATAGTTCACAGCTTTAAACCACAAAAAACATTGACACCAACAACAATTGACTTGTTGCCAGTATATTTTCACGCATCTTTATAAAAATGTGACTTGATGAGAAAACTAATTTGTCTCTCCCTATTGTCATATCCTAATTTATAGTTATTAGATGTGCAGTTACCATGGACACAAGATTTACTAATTAAAACTAATAGACATGTAATCGCAATAAATCTAGGGATCAGATGTAAAACTATATCTCACAACAATAAGAAAATAAATTACTGCAGATTATTATTTCCATTTGATACCAGAGTGAAAATGACATGAAAATATTTTATATATACCGATAGATTTACAACAAATCAGCGAAAATAATTCCTGACCCACCAACCAATTCATTATGGATTGCACTGATGAATCAATTGGTAACAATAAACTAGTTTTCAGTGTGAATAGATTCTACCTGGTAGCTAAAATAAAGCATCACCCTGAATAAAAAAGTACACAGAATTGTGAAGACTGTGAAACACTTTATTTTCGTTGGAATTAATTTTCGCTGAAAAGGCTTTTTGGGCATTTTGCTTGGAATTCATTTTCACAGATTTTTGATGAGATTAATGTGAAATATAGGAAAAAAAGTATATTAATTTAATAACTAATACATCATGACTTGTAACCATGGTTTTAAGTCAATTCGAATTGTCTGGTTCTGTACCGTATTTGCTCTATTAGTTACATATATGCAAGTGTAAATGACAGACTTGAGAGATGTATTATTCAATATGCAATGTTTGCTTAAATACAGTCTTTGGCTTTTATTATTTCCACAAACTGGGGGTCAACATTAATTCAGCTCTAAAAGTTTCATTTTTTCCTTACTGGTCATTTGTCCACCAAGTTCAAATTGTAGGTGGCCAACTGGAAAATTTAGTAGCCAATGAAAAAAAAAAAACTATTGGTTGCCAGAATTTATAAGTTTTACAAATACACAATTAATTACACAGAAATACCAATTATGTTAAAATTCAGATATTTCAGATGCGATGTCATTTGTATCATTATTGGCCAACACTGATTCACTGACAGGGGGAGAACCACTTTCAATCGCCTCATTCTGCTACAAATTGCATGGTTTATCACCCCGACTTACAATGTCCAAAAAATGCATCGATCGTTGTAGGTTATTTCATCACAATAATTACGGTATGTATCACATAATAAAATGTGGATGTGCAATTGTGGATGGAAGCATGCCACCAAGAGTTGACAAGCTCTATAATCTGCTTAGTCATCAGTCAGATGTTTTAAGGGTGCCACCTGGGTACTTTTTTTTAATTGCCATTAATTAAATTTAATCTCCATGGTGATCAAAATGTTCACAATTTAGAGGCCTGTAATTGTAAAATATTTTTATAGTTATAAACCCAACATTTTTCATTTGAAATTAGTCTCAAATCCAAACTAAATGAATGGATTGGCAGAGTACAAATGCCCATCATTCTATGAGTCAGTCGCACATCAATCAAACAGACTATGACAACTTCGGTAATTATTTTTCAAAAATTTCCCCTTGTCCCACCAAATCTGTGATGTCACTGCACAAGTTTATGAATATTTAAATTTTGTTTTGTTGACTTCAGTGTATTTTCATCTGAACCCCCATCTAGAATTTTTTAGGTACTGCAAGCGGAGAAATATTCACTGGGTGTAATTTCAGCAGTTAGATGTTACCACGATATTCACAAGGTTATAATTTTGCTGATTAGTAAGGAAACATTACATTCTATTGTTATCTTGGAATATTCACAGTGGTTTAATTTAGCACATTGAACCACCAGCAAAATAAACAAAAAATAACAGCAAGCATATAATTAAGCTCTGTACAGTATAATGTTCCAGCCAAGTATCTCATGTTTTTGAAGAGAAGAATGAAAGGTTACGTAACTGTGACCAGAAGACGCTAAATCTAAACTGCAGACAAACAATGTTGGTCTAGCTAACTAAGTGTTGTTTACTGTAAAAGGATTAATTATTCTAAATTCTAAAATTATTTTAATTTTGCTTATTTCCCTGATGCTTATTTTCTATTGCGCTAAATTAAAACCCAGTGAATATGTAAAATTTAGCATAGAACACGTTATCTAAATGATAAAACCGTGAATTTAAAATCCACTGAATATGCCTGAAATGGTTAATCAGCGAAATTTAAACCCAGTAAAAGTCATTTTACAGTAGTATATATATATGTGATTTCTATATCATTGTTGTTGTGTGTTGACTCTCGTATACATGTACATGTTATCAGTCCGCATACTGTAAAACTATTTATTTTCACTCATTTAATTACTATTTTGAGAATATTCACAGTGTTTTAATTTCACAAATTTGTCAAGGAAACAACGAGTTTTATTGTTATTTTACATGTTTACGTAGATTTAATTTAGCAGATTTTACCATGGATGTACTAGTACGTCCATGATTTTACTTATCAGCGAAAACAATGAAATTAAAACCCAGCGAATACCTAATGCACATACAGTATAGTGAATGTATGGAGATTCAATGCAAAGATGTCTTATTTGAGATGTCCGCATTCAGAATTGCCCAACAGTTAAATTCATATCCTTGTCCATTACCAAAAAATATTCATCATGGATTTTTTGGGCATACTGGAGGAAAATAGGGTAAAAGTCTCCTATTCTCGCAACAGTTAACCTAATTTGTTTGCACATGGAACTTTTATTGAGTGATTTGTTTAATTAAATGTAATGGATACTAGAAGGGAAATATGTCTGTTTTTACAGAAAGATGTATGAATAACAATGCAACAAAAAGTAAGACTTTATGAAGAAATTAAAATATGTATTTGAAAAATATGCATATGTTATAACTACTAAAAAAAGGAGTAATTTATGGACAAGGTTTGGAGTATTGACCCATTTACAAAATGTACTAGTATTGCCACTTAAATCTATTAGATGTTTAGGGATTAAGAGATTAGATAATATATGATTGTAACAAAATTTGGGGCGACAAACATTTTCTAAAAGTATATTGTTAATATCAATTATCAAAAACATTATCTCTTTATTGAGCCACCATTTTAAAACATAAATTTTGATGATGTTTTGATTCAAGTTTATTTATTCATATTCTACTTTATCTATTTTTTATTTTATCATAATTTTGTTGTATTTTATTCAGATCTGTTTTAGTCTAAGTTGTAATAGCGATGTCTTTGCTCTTTGAACTTTTGTTCGGTTTTGTTAGATTGCTCATTTTAAAATGAAAAGATTACGTTGGAAACTTACCGTGTGTTTCGCTAGCCTGCAAGTCTGGTGGTGCAAAGTTTTCGCCATATAAATTAAATGCATTTCCACTTTCTTTCGAACCACTGTTCTCTCCTGAATCGTGGTTTTTATGTCGTTCATTTGCCATACTCCCTTTTCTGTGTAAATAAATTTGAACCCTGACCTCTCGGCAAATTCTCGCGTGGACGTGGGTACGAGATCGCGTTATTGTTATTATTTCAATTCGCGGTCGAATTAACTGCTATGTAAGAAAGCCTGTGATTGGGTCGCTTGGCAACTAACTGAATACCTCTTGAGCAGTTTTATGTTAATGGTCATTAGTTCGATAACCAAAACAGTAACAATGAATAATTTTTACGGAACAAGTTTGTACCTGCTGCTCATATATTTCAAGAAAAAATGAATATATACGATAAAATCACATAAAATCTAAATACACATTGTCCAATCATGAATCATCTTACACAAAAGGTATTAGTGGGCAATACCACTTTTACAGCGGAAACGACGTGTTAATTATTTTTTTGCAACTCGTTTAAAATTACATACAATAAAATATGCTGTTCAATTCAACTCGGCTTTAAGTAAATTAGATTGAATTTTAGTTTTACACCACTTAGATAATATATTTATTTGAGTATTTCGGACGCGCACTTTAACGAGCTCTGAACATTAACCCACTATTTAGTGGATTCGCCCGCCTGCCCTTGTTTTGAGGATTCTGCTGTTCGCCATTGTTTTCCTGGCACTGTGACCAACGCTTATATCAGTAAGAAATCTACTATCATCGGGCCTTTTTAAAGTTTTTCACTTACTAAAAACCTTCCAATACACAGTTGGTATATCTAAGGTAGGGTTAATGTTAATTTGAATATATATTTCTGTATAATAATGTAGATATTTTCAGTGTCCGTGTGTATTGTGAATATGACGAATTCGAGTAACAAAACAAAGATGGCGTCACCGTAGTTTAAAAAGCCGATAGTTTTCATATCGAAAGGATATTTTCAACCGCGAAACCAACTCATAATGATGTTTATTGTCGAACACCGGGCATGTATGCAATTCAGTTTAGCGTGGAATAGTATTTTAGTCAGAACGTGCTATTATAACTTGCTACAAAAGACATCTAATTAACCTTTTTGACTGACCTCTGAGGACGCGTTAATATTTACTATATTCAGCGTAGCTTGATTTAGCACGAGGTAATAAGATTGAAATACAACATTTGTAATATTTATTATTTATATTTACTATAAAATCGTGTCCGACTTCGTAGTTTTCCAAAAAAATTTCACCAAGTTTGGTGGATCAGTTAAATCATGTTTGGGAACGTATAAACATGCACTTAATGAGTGTTTGTGAAAAACCGTTGTACCAATTTAATTTTTTTTTTATGTATACAGATTTCAAGATGACTGAAGAAAACAACATTCAAGAGGAAGAGTTGTTGGATTATGATGAGGAAGAACAACAAGAAACTACTCAAGAGACAGGGGGTGATGGGGACAAGAAGAAAGATGTGAAAGGAAACTACGTTTCCATTCACAGTTCAGGATTTCGTGATTTCCTTCTCAAACCAGAGTTGTTGCGTGCTATTGTTGATTGTGGTTTTGAACATCCGTCAGAAGGTACATACACATAAATATATATATCTAAAAGTTGCTTTTCTATTTGTATTGTATGCAGAACACCTTTCGCTGAGTATTGCAATCGACATGAAAAATGTTGAACAAATTTGGTGACAATTCCTGTGATATTAAAGCACTAAAACTTCCCTACACTTGAGAAACAAAGTCCCATTGTCTAATCACAGAGTAAAACTAGTTTTTATTGTTCATTCAAGACCAACAACTTTCATTCAAATGTTTGAGTGATTAGCACAACAACACAGCACTCCTGTAATGCATGCCAACTTGATGTTTGGATAGTGTTGAACTAACAGTGATGTCAGTGTTATTTCTGGATTGATCAATTTTAATTCTAACATCCATTATAAAAATATACATATGAAAAATGTTTAGAGACCTTCACTGTATTTTGGGATGCACTTCTAAATTAAATTTCAGGATTCTGGTAGATAAGATTACTCAGACCCAAAGCTCTTGAAGGCAAGATGTTTTCTGTACATAATAACAAAAAGGAAATACAACTTTAAATGGGGACCTCCTGTTAAGCTAAACTCCAGTAAAGTTACTTACTGGATTAACATTACAATGGGGAAGGCCAGGGTGATCAACAACATAAACAATGATGTCCGTGATTTCCTGGTGCAATCACAAATTTAACAGCTTCCCCCATAGCAAGCCACAGAGAACACATAGATTACATGCAATTGAATTCATGGTTATTATACCTATCTTTTGTTTGCAGTTCAACACGAGTGTATTCCTCAAGCCATCTTGAGTATGGACGTGTTATGCCAGGCTAAGAGTGGTATGGGAAAAACTGCAGTTTTTGTACTGGCTACTCTGCAACAAATAGAACCCGTTGATGGACAGGTAATTAATAACATTTGAAATCACATAATTATGTGCTTAACATTAGATATTACCAGTTTGCGTGTGGCACGATCTAGGTTGGGTGGTCCAAACAAGTTCCTTCACTGGTTGAAAGGACAAATTCCAGACGTAATAGCTAGAATTAGTCATCAGAACTTCTACCCAAGATCATTCCTTCAAATTTCCTGTCTCTTTCAGGTTTCTGTCCTTGTACTCTGTCATACTCGTGAGTTGGCATTTCAAATTGCCAAGGAGTATGAGAGGTTCTCAAAGTACATGCCAACAATCAAGGTTGGAGTGTTCTTTGGTGGTATCAACATCAAGAAAGATGAACAGACGTTGAAAAACAACTGTCCTCACATTGTGGTAGGAACCCCGGGACGTTTGCTGGCTTTGGGAAGAAACAAGACACTGAGTCTGAAACATGTCAAGCATTTCATTCTAGATGAATGTGATAAGATGCTAGAACAGCTTGGTAAGTTCTAACGAGTTTGTTTAGGTTGTTGCATGTTTGGCTTTTGTTGAATTGTAAAATCTGTATTAGAAGCCGCGGCTTCTATTAAAATGGTACAATTCAAAGGAGGGGATGAGTCTTCTATTAGAGCATCTATTACACATATGAGAAATTGTGATTCTTTTTGGTTCTCAGTTGTTCAAAAAAAATGGGTGAAACTTCTATTAGGGATGCGGCTTCTAATACAGATTTTACGTGTTATATGCTCAAACTTTTTAAAATGTCCTGATTATAATAAATTGAATTATCTATTCCAAGTCCTGGAGCTATATATACATAAATCAATTAAGAACACTTTGAAAAAAAATGCTAACAATTGTAATTTCTTATTTTGTTAGATATGCGTCGGGATGTACAAGACATATTTCGTCAGACACCTCACGAGAAGCAAGTCATGATGTTCAGCGCTACACTCAGCAAAGATATCCGACCTATCTGCAAGAAATTCATGCAAGATGTAAATAGAAAATCCTTTATTATTTCATGCTGTGATCTGGTAGCGTATGGTGACAACCAACCTGTTAGTGGTTGAGAATGTCCTGGGGTTCATCCTGATGAGCTAAGCTAAGTTGGGTGGTGATCATGCTCCAGGCTGTGAAGTTGAGCATGTCTGTTGTGGCAGTAGCAATGGCAGGCAAGGCAAGGCAATCTGTAGATCAGTGCAGCATTATGGATGGATAAGCTACGTCGTCGGTCGGAGTTGCAGGAAATGTTGGTTTATGTTCGGAAATGTTAATTTTCTCTCTTGATATATCGGACTGTTAGGGAATTTAATCGTATAGTACTACAATGAAGATGAGAGATCAGTTGCCATCACTGATCAGCAGCTAGGAAAGCATTATATCTACATATTTCATGCGCCAGTTAGATTAACCCACATTTTATTTCGAGGAAAAATAAATAAGTTTCACCCCCTGTCCTGGTCCTGTAGTTTGAGATAGTGGAGATCGTCAGTTAGGTAAAAATAATTCATTGCCACCAGTGGAAAGTCTTCATGTAATGTCGCCAAATTTTAACGTCACTTAGTTCTTCAATATTTGTGAACTCTCAATATATTATCGTCAGTGGAAACCGCTGAAACCAGTATGAGTTGCGACATGGAAGATTCAATATTGCAGTATATCAGTATTCCCTGCAAAAAAAAATCGCTAGTTGGCCTTTTGGTCAGTCATTAAGGGACTCTAGTGTCTGCTCCGCATACTTCGCCTGTGAATGAGCTAAATCCTCGCATATAAAGTTTTAAGTTTGTTACCGTGTCAGCCTGAGTATCCATCAATGTTACGTGGCTAGCCTGCCCGCCAGAGATCTTGCCTTGTACGTATAACCACCTGAATGCAAAGCTAACTACCACAATACAAGTGATACCATCATCTCAGTCATCAAGAATGCTGCCTGTTGGATTCAACATGAGAGCAGTAATGTTTGATTCAAGCTTGGATGAACAAGTCGCTGTCAACAGTTGCCATCCACTGCTTCAACTCCTGCAGTCAACCTCTTGTATGTGTAATCTGGAGCTATCACCAAGTACCAGGCACCCCATACTTGGAATTGAGCAGTTGCTGCCCAGATGGAATTGCACCCTGTATACTTTAACTAATGGGCTATCAGGGCTTGAACTTCGCAGAGCACCAATTTTGAAGGCCAAATTTATAAAATTGCTTCAATGGCCAAGGTGAATTTGTTTGGTGTCTAGGTGATTGCCTTTGATTTCTGAGAAGTTCAAGCCCTGGATTATTGAATAATAATTTATAAGCACTCAACTCCACAAAATGGCCTGGGTATTTTGAGAGCACACTGCCTAATTCAAAACAGAATTGCATTTAGACCAGAAATCTTAAAGACGCAAGTTTCTGGCAGTATGCAATAATTTGTGACTGTACTCAATACAAATATTATTACCACCTGAAATAAACTTGCTTCTTTGAGACTCTTTAGAGGAAAAAAATTGCCCAAACTCATTTAGACCTTTTTTTACTAAAATAGACCGAACTACTAAAAATGTGCTACGTGTAAAGCACATATGACTTTCATGTTGTATATGATTTTATCCCCTATAGCCAATGGAAGTGTATGTTGATGACGAGACCAAACTTACATTGCATGGTCTGCAACAATACTACTGTAAGCTTAAAGACAATGAGAAGAACAGAAAGTTGTTTGATTTGCTGGATGTTTTGGAATTCAATCAGGTACAACAGAGTTTTAGGCTTCTAATAAGTTTAATGTGTTTGCTTCTAATAAGATTTCTATGTATTTGTGCATGTGTATTGTAATGATGCAGAGGTTAAAATAACAAAAAATGTGCCAAGCTATAACCAAATACAATCCAACCTGTGTAAGTAACCACACTTGCCTGTACTGATCACTTTTAGGCAGTCCCAAAGCATAACATGAGCAACCAGTGTCCACCACAAATTTAACTTTTAGAGACCAACATAATTAGCATTCTGTTCATAAAACAGTTTTTTCACAGTACCACAGTCTCGTTAGATAAATATTGTGTTGAATGTACAAGCTTGTAATCCATGAAAAATAACTCAACATCTATATAAAGACCACCTGTCTATAAGGATCAATTTAATAAAGTCTCTTGTGTGGTTGCCATACACGCGTTTGATTGTATATGAAGTAATTTGTGAGTATTTCCTGGCGAGTTTGCATGCTTTTTCCCAGTTTTGGATGAACAATATAGCTCACTTCATAAAACAATAGCGTTATTAACATTTTGTATTGTTTATGCTAGTTGTATGCATCTTGAGTATTCTTTAAATGACCTGAAAACGCAGGCGATTCTGAAAAATCTTTGCATTGAAAGCAGACTATCGTCGATTGTAAACAATGACTTAATGCCAGTCAGAGATTTCTTTGTGAGAGTCACTGCTCACATCGTCGGCAATAGTCTGGTAATTTTTTGGCGTGAATAAAAACAAATGTGATCCAGCAGATGCAACAATTTTGCTCTGGTCTTACAAAAAATACTTTTGGAGTTGAAAAATACTAGAACATTGTACTTTAGTTTTATAATGCAGTCTATTGAATACACAAAGATGCATGTAGTTACTGCATTATACTTGTACTATGAGTGAGAGTAACACAACTTGCCATTGTACTGACCTGCATCATAAAGTGAATGTTTAGAAGGTGAAACTCGTAGGTTAATTAATTTGTTTCCGTCTTGAGGACCCATGTTTGGTTATTGTAATCCACCCTACACTACCTTGTACATGTCTTGCCATGTGTGGAGGGATGGGTGTCTAAAACAAAATATAGATTTTTAGCTCGTGTTTGCTGCTGCGGCAAGAACAAAAAACAATGTTCACTTTTTCCGGCCTTACAAATAAAGTTTTTTTGCTAAAATGTTTTTTATTTGGGGCACATATTTTAAGTTTCAGTAATTCATCAAGAGGATGCAGTGTGAGAATTAATAAGAGAAAAATGGCACACTGACCAATAATGTATCCTTTTTAGGCTAATTATCAGTTCTCTCAGCATAGGTAGCTTCTAACTGGCACTAATTTGACTGGAGTAAAAAGATGTTCTTGCTGGGAAAGTTTTGCGGTTTTGTTGTACAGTCAATTCAAGTACAGCATCACATTGGGGCTACCCCGGCTGGCGTTGACAAGTACATTTTACATTGGTCTATTCAAAAATCAGTGAAAATAAATTCCATACAAAACACTAAAAATGTCTTTTTAGGGAAAATTAATTCTAGCCAAAATATTTTACAGTATTTTAGATTACTGACATTGAGGGCAGCGATGTATTTTGCACAGGGCAAATTGTATACATCGTACCTATAACAACTCTGGTTAGCTTTTTGTGATGTAGTGCTATAGTTGTAATTTACGTGTTAAAGCGGGAGGGTCATCGCCTGTGTGCGCATGGGAATCGAGTCCCAGGCGACGATAACAATGTGCGCTAACACGCAAAGGCTCATGGGAGACGCTTGTTTGTAAACAATGACACGCTATGGCCATCTGACGCATGCACAGGTGATAACTCCCCCGCTTTAACTTCAATGGTCTTGTATATTGGTACTAATAGTCTTGATCATGTAGACGTGTACCATATTCACTCGATTAACAGCACATCTGCAGTATTGGTGGCCTGCGGTACATAGAATTTAGTGGTCATTGTGGCTCCCTCCAGAATTTAAAGGATATCTTGCGTTATCATAACTTTTCAAGTGAACATCGGACATTACTCTAAAATACTTCAATTTAGCTGGACTTTTTACTGAAAACATTTTTTTTACTTGATTTTATTTTCATTCTCTCGATAAAGATGCCGAAAATTAATACTAAATAAAAATAAAGAACTTCACATCCTAGTTTGTGTACAGCAATCACACAATACAAAATTTGTTTGCATGAAACTTGCATTGCGTTATTAGGACAATAAAGCGTTCTTTAAAATTGTTCATGTATAAAATTAGCTGCACCACTTTTTGTGGCACCATGCAACCTTTTCTAACAAGTTAAATGATTCCCCGGTCATCTTGCATAGTAGATATATTAACTTGTGGACATTTTGGTTTTAGGTGGTGATATTTGTGAAGTCTGTTCAGCGTTGTATAGCTTTATCACAACTATTGGTAGAACAGAATTTCCCAGCCATTGCCATTCATCGTGCTATGAATCAAGAAGAAAGGTAATAAATGTGCTTCTCTGTTGTACCAAGTTCCAATATTGTTCTTCATTCTAACTGCAAAACTCGTGCTTTTTTGAGGCCTGTATATTTTTTATTTGTATGAATTTTGTTTGTCTATTATAGATTGGCCAGATACCAACAGTTCAAGGACTTCCAGAAAAGAATTCTTGTGGCAACTAACTTATTTGGCCGTGGTATGGATATTGAAAGAGTTAATATAGTATTTAATTATGATATGCCAGAAGATTCCAACACATATCTACATAGGGTGAGTAATATTTTCTTGTATATATGCTGTCTTGCATATGAAGGTTACATTATACAGGGCCTATACTAATATTCATGATGCAATTATTATGCCAAATTTTTCTGATAAAAGTAAAATACTTGTAATTACATTTTCAACCAAAAATAAAATATTCAGCCAAAACATGAGTCACTGTTTGATAAAATTTCTGAAGTTCTTCTTAAATTGTGAAATTAAAACCCAATTGATGATTTGAATTTAATTAAATTTACAGATTTTTATTTGAAAATTCTTGCATGATTAGTAACGTCGTTTGTGTTTTGTCAGGTTGCCCGTGCTGGTCGATTTGGTACTAAGGGCTTGGCAATAACGTTTGTATCAGATGAAAATGATGCCAAAATATTAAATGAAGTGCAAGATAGATTTGAAGTTAATATCGGAGAACTGCCAGATGAGATTGACATCACATCATACAGTAAGTATACGTGTAATGTTTGTATTGCCTTGGAGGCTTACTTTCAATAGATCGCATCGTATCAGCTACTCTGCTAAGTGCGACACCCTGATCCACACCCAGTGTATGGGCAACAATTTTTAAATGTACTTGCACATACAGTACAGGTAAATGAATGCATACATGCATGCAAGAAAGTATAATTTATTTACTTACAGTATTTGCTGTATTACCTGTAACTGTAAAACATAGCAACTGTAGAAAAACCTTGCCCATCATGCAAATGATATAGAACACTATGTTTGCTCTATTAGCTGCTCATGCTTTAACAGGTGTTTATGGTTGAAATGAGTCTTATCGTAAAATTTCTAATTTAAGCATAATTATTTAACATTTTGATCTTCCCTGAAGTCTAATTTTGGTTCTTCGTAGTCATTGACTCCTTTTCAAGAATACAAGGTTAATGGCTAGCGTGAATGTGTAAACTTTTTTCATCCCAAAGATAAACTGAGCATTGAAGAGAAATATAACACTTTTGCAGTGTCAACAGATTGCTGAGTCAGTGACCTGTTGTCACTGCAAAAGTGTTGAAACTTACTAATTCCTTGATTTAAAAAAAAAAAATCATGCCATTTCCTCCCACCCAAAGCCAAAAGATCTTGCTTCAACATCGGTAAATCTCTTCAGCATTAGCCACGAGGTTGCTGAACTGTCAACATATTTAAATGAGCTATGGTAATTTCGACATGTTGGTGCTATCTGGCATTACCATTGGTTAATTGGCGACTTGACCTATCAGGTCGAAGAACACTTACAGGTCAATTCGTGTT